TGTAAACAATCAAAATGGCTCTACCCTTGGTCACTTTAAATATCCAAAATGGCTGCCACTTGTAAACAATCAAAATGGCTGCACCCTCTGGACAGCAGAAAGTCCACAGCTCAGTTTGTCTCCCTCTTTGCTATTTCCCTTCCTAGTCACAGACCACCAACGCAGTTGTTCCTGAAGCCCTTGGGGACCCAGGCTAATATTTAGGTCAATTCTCAGGTCCCAACACCACTTGGAAATATTCAGGTTGCTGGTCCTGTCAGAATAGCTGATAGTCCACTGCTCTGTCTCTGTACTCAATGTTTTTGTTCAGGTTTTTCCACTAGTTGGTGTCTAATCTACTTCTGCATTGTTCCTTTCAAAGCTTAGGGCTCCAGGATTATTTTCTGTATGTCTGTCAATTGGTTTCTCTTTTCTTTATTGAAGAGAGTCTATGTAGCTTGTCTGCCTATTCTATTCCTCTGTCTTACCAGAAGTCTCTGGAGATTATTTATTGTAAAGATAAACTGGAGTAGAGTGATTCCATATACATTTTTTAAAAAAAGACCAAAAAATAGGAGCTTTGTGTTGATAAGCTAAACTTGAAGTTAAGTCCAAGGCTAGGGACCTCAGCAGCAAGAATTCTTTACTCTTCTCTTTAGTGTTTAGCTATTAACATGAATTAAATATATTCTGGTGTCTCCTAATTTTGTCTCTCACTACCAGTTCACTTGGTCATTCTACTTTTTTATCTTTTTATAAACTGTTATAGTTTCTCATGACATTTGCTTGTCTCATGCCTAGGATTCTACTTTACACTTTTTCTTTCTATATTCTTTTTGCTTCAGTATCTACTTCATTCATACATGAGTTTTGAGTTAACTTTCCAATTCTAATTCCTAAGAGTGTGTTTGAAGATGCTAGACTGTTGTATTTGTCTCCAGCCTGTCAGTAATGATAAAGGCAGTTTTTATCTTCCAAAATATGGCTTCTTTGCTATTCTTTTGGAATAGATAGTATGTTGTTGTTATGTGCCCTTGAGTTGGACTCGACTCATAGCAACCCCTCCTTGGGTTTCTGAGGAAGTATCACTACAGAAGTAGATTGCCCCTTCTTCCTTCCAAGGAGCTGCTGGTGGGTTTGAACTGCCAGCCTTCTGGTTAGCAGTCCAGCGTCTTAGGCACTATGCTACCAGAGCTCCCAAAGATAGTATATCAGGACATTTTGTCTTATAAAATACTAATGTATATGTTGACTGACCAGTTTTGAGTTTGCAAAAATAAAAATTTATTCTGAATTTAAAAATCAAATTTTTAATTCATCAACAAAAATAAAAGATTTTAGCTTTCTAATTTGTATGCCAGTTAATCAATGAATGATCCTGTACTGTAATTATTATAGATTATTACCACTAATTCTTATCTAATAAAGAAGTGTGTGTGTATGTCTGTGTGTGTGTGTGTGTGTGTGTATAGATATATATATGTCAGTCATGCTTTGTTTAGGTTCATAACAAAGACTGACATTAATACAGCATTAAGAGCTTTGAATAAATATAAAAATAGATCTAAATATATGTTTTCTTAAAGTACTGATGTATTTAAAATACTGTTTGAAATGGTTAAAATGACAAATTACATTTTATGTTTTAATTCTTGTCAGAAATTTATATAGGAAGCAATATGTGAAATTAATCTGATTTAAAAGATTGGGAGCTCTGGTATCATAGTGGCTAAGGCACTTGACTGCTAACCAGAAGGCTGGTGGTTCAAACCCACCAGCTACTCCTCGGAAGGAAGATGGGGCAATCTACTTCCATAGTGATACTGCCTCGGAAACCCAAGGAGGGGTCGCTGTGAGTTGGGTCCTACTCGATGGCACATAACAACAAACAACAACATAGCCCAGGAAATCTTTAGATTTTGTTACCATCAAAGCAACTAGTGATCTTTGTTAAGATTTCATAGTGCTATAATCAGTATCAGATCAGAGAAGCTTGAAGTTTTGTTTGATTTAAATCAGTATTCCAATATAAGCAAGATGGAGCAGTGCTTTGAAATCAATTAAAGCTCAGTTCTGTTGTTGCTATGGTTAGTGTATTCTTAAGGATTTTCCCACTTTGATGACTCTTTGTAGAGAATAATTCAGCTACCTTACTTTTCAATTTTCAGTAATTATTTACTTTTTTTTTTTTTAAATCATGTGCATTCTTGAAAACAACCATAAATCCTTTGAGGAAAAACATAAGAAATAATACACAAATGTAACCTGATGTGTTTAAAGACTGGAATCTTCATTTGGAATGATTGTTCATTTTTATTGTTATTGAGGTGTTCAAGCCCAAGAAGAGCTGTATATGGCAAAACAATTTTCATCATTCTCCAGACATTTGTATAAATTTAATTTTTCCTCTTCCAAAAGTGTATTTTTACTTTAGGTAAAGTAATATATATTTAACTTTAATTTTTGACTAACAGAAAATGAATTGTTTTTACTTTCAATTGGCAGCCCTATTTATTAGTAATGTCATTTTTAATTAGAATAATGATTGCATATATTCCTAAATTTTCATTTTGAATCTATTTTATAATCTTTTTGCTTTTCTTTTGAATGAATCAGAGAACAGAAATGAGTGGAATTCTATTTTAAGCAAGCCAGAAAATCAATTGTAGCTTTTATTATTAACTACTGTTCAAATGAAGAAAGATAAAAGGAAAACTAAAATTCCAGCTGATAATTACCCAGTTCAGACATTGGTGAATATGTCACTTAATCCAAGTCGACCTTCCTCATCAGAGGTAAGACATTCTTTTTCTACTAAAATATAAGAAAAATCTGTTTATTATTAATTTTTTTAAAAAATGGTTTTATAAAGCAATAATATGAATTATATGGAGTATTAGTTTTTTATATTCTCATGATTTCAATTTCTTTTATCCCATTGTCTGATCATGTTTCCTGTCTCCATTTCTCTTCCTCTACTATTCCGACTCTGATAGCGTAGTGCCTAAGGCACTTGACTGCTAATCAGAAGGCTGGTGGTTCAAACCCACCAGCCACTCCTTGGAAGGAAGATGGGACAATCTACTTCCATAGCGATACTGCCTTGGCAACCCAAGGAGGGGTCACTGTGAGTTGGGTCCGACTCAACGGCACATAACAACTATTCCAATTATACCAGAAACTCCAAGGTGTTCATCCTGTCACCTGTTTTCCTTACTTTGTGTCTTAGTTATCTAGTGGTGCTACAACAGAAATAGCACAAGTTAATGGCTTTAGCAAACAAATTTATTATCTTACAGATTAGGAGGTTAGAAGTCTGAATTCAGGGTGCCAGCTCTAGTGGAAGGCTTTCTCTCTGTTGGCTCTTGGGGAAGATTCTTGTCTCTTTCAACATATGTAAGCCTGGCATTCCTTAGAGATCTCTATGTGTCTTGGCATCAGTCTTCCCCTCGGTCTGAGAGGTTTTCAGCACAAGGACTTTGGATCAAAAGGACACACTCCACCCCAGCTCTTCTTACTTGGTGATAGGACCCTTCCTCTCTGCTCTCTTCTCTCCTTTTTATGTCTTGTAAGATGTAGGCCATACCCGAGGAAACTGCTCTTACATCAGATCAGTACTGTGACCTGACTAAGGGTATTACATCCCACCCTAATCCCCTTATTGCTGACGGGCTGATCACATCAGATCACACCATGAGGGATGCTTACATCATTACATAACTGCCAGATTACCTCATTATATAACTGCCAAACCACTGAAAATCATGGCCTCTGCCAAGGTGATACAGTTCAATCTATGACACTTTGTGACATCCTTCAGAGTTGGCTTAAATTACTTAGGTCAATCTTACTCACTTTCTTGTACATATTTTTGATGCTTGCTCTCCTCTCCTTCATTGTACTCCTTGGGAAAACTGTAACCCTGGCAAATCCAACTTTCCACCTACTTTGTGCCTATACCTGAGCAGTTGAACATGGTTGAGAAAAAATATACCAGCAGAAAGTCTAGTCTCACTTTAAATTCATGATCATGAATTTCAAATGGAACCTGGTGGGCAGTTACTAAGAGAATAATAAAACAGTTTTCACACACCAGCTGCATCAAGTGGAAATCTCAGAATCCAATTATTCTGTTCCCAACTCTGAGAATATAACAAATACCCATTATTTACTTCTCCTGTTCATTTCTGATACTGGCCACCCACATGGCACCTCTCTCCCTAACATCAGCCACTGGAGCTAGGTTGTTCTCACAAATTAAAAGAACACTGTTCTTGACATCTCTACTTGGATAACCAATAGACATCTCCAGCCTAACATGTCTGAAACTGAAATATGGATCTTTCCTTCTTCACCAAACCTGTACTACCCATGGCTTTTACGATCTCACTTGATAGCAATTCTTTTCTTTCAATATCTGAGGCCAAAAGCCTTGGAATTATCCTTGACTTTTCCTTCTCAAACTCCACCTCCAATCTGTTGATTCTAGCTTTAAAGTATATCCCAAAACTGACCACTTATCATCACTTACACTTCCAAAACCTTGGTCTAATCCACCATCATCTCACACTTTAATTATTTCAATACTTTCATTAACAGGATTCCCTTTCTTGCTCCCTACAGTTTGTTCTGGCTATTATCCCTTTAACCCAAGTGGTTCAATTTAGCGTGATTTACAAGTAGAGCATTCATTATGTATGTCCTTATGTGATACAAATATCAAACTTCATTAGATTAAAAGATGGAGGCTATAATTGCTATGATTTTCCTATTTCTGTTGTAATAATCTATTCTTCTAAATAGAATGATTATACTAAAGGTCATAACAAAATATTAGTAGAAAAGAAGTACAATATATGTAAGCACTGAAGCTTATAGAAATACCCTATGTAAGAATAATCATTTCTTTCTCCGTCACTGTTCAGGAACAGTTCTTCCTAAAATTCCTAGAAACGAAAATGGTTTCCAAACCTTTTCCAGGTAGTTAGAATTAGCAATCATCGTAATTATTGTATGCAGATAGTATATACAGGAAAAGGATTCTGTAAGATCACCCTAATGTAACTGAGTAGGTAGGCGAGGAGAAGGAAACCTGGTGATAAGAAAACTGATCTTGGCATTTTAGTATTCTTTATGCAGGCCACAGAGTAACACCATAAGTCAGAGATGTTGTCATGGAGGTAATTAGGAGCCACATCTATGACATTGTTTTCTTTGTTTTAATTTTTATTGTGATTTGGATTGAAAGTTTACAGAGCAAATTCATTTTCCATACAGAAGTTCACATGCACTTTGTCTCATGACTTTGACTA